ATCAATAATATCATAAATTTGTTTTCTTGTCTTATATTTTAATAACTGTATTTCAATATAATTAGTTTCTTTTCTAATTCTTTGTATTTTACTTTATGATTTAAAAACATTATTCTGGGGAGTTCGTAGGATTCACCAGACTGTCACAGTTTCGATGGTTATAGCACAGAAAGTTTAAAGTCCTGGCTCAATAGCACATTCGTAAATAAACTTGTACATAAATATTTTCTATTAAATCCAAAAACACTTGTAAAAATACATGTAGAATGTAGGAGGACTACACTCTCCATTTATATATGTAAATATTTAAATATGTGTGCTTTTTCTTCACAAAGAAAAGGTAACTTTTGTTATCTTATTAATTTATTTATTTTTAATATCTGGTTAAGGGGCATATACCATCTCCGCTTCCTCTGAGTACGCCTAAGCTGTACTGGTTTATAGGCTTAAATATTTTTATAATCTCAAACATTTAATCTACCGATGAATTAAGTTTCAATGGTCTTAAAATACTTCACATAATACTTATTGTTAATTATAATAAACGTGATTGTTTTCTTTCTAGCAATTATTAATTTAATGTAAAATTTATAATTAATTAATATTTGCGTTAATATAAACCTCAAAATAAATAACCTACAATAAAAACTGTTTAGAAGTTACTCAAGTTTCTATAAATGGGAAATAGTTTCTATTATTTGAGATGCTTTTTTAGAAGCTTTTGATACTTTTCATGTTTTTTAAAGACAGTATTATAGAATATTTATTGTGAATAAGGAAGACTGCTTAACAGAAAAAAAAATCAAAAAATTTATCGGGCAGAGTTTGACCTGATCTTACGCAGTTTATAAAATTGATGCAACTATGAGCTTTGAGTGTCATTTTAATTAGAGACAAAACTGATAGCAAGGAGTTTTTCTTTCATAAAATCTTTGAGATTTAACAGATATATAGACAATTTTCGGTAGAATTTCCTGCGAAAATAGTTTTTTTTCTCTCGAATGAAATATTTGATGCATCTCGTTAAGGATATATTTTTCATATATTGTAGGCCTATATATTAGATCAGAAGCGCTACTGCTTCTCCATATCAGAAATCGTTTTTTTATAACTTTACAAAAAATTTTATAGTATAAAATATTCAATAAATTTACTCTGTAAAAATTTTTAGACGTTCTAAAACCTGAAAATTATCTATTTTAGAAACTAGAATATGTTTCCTGTTAGTCGTAATTTACTTATTATCCTACACCTACGTTATCCTAACACAAATTAGTTTAATTCTATCCAAGCTTTGGTGTTAATTACACTTATAGAAGTTTAAAACACGTTAAATTTTTAATCAACGTATGACTTGTATTAAATAAATTTACTTTACGTTTAAAGTAAAATTTGTTTAATACAATTTTAAAATTATAAATACGATTTTAAAACTGACTGAATGTTTTGAATAAGATTCATTCAGTTTATTTAATAAATGAAATTTAAATTTATTCAATATTTGATTTAGTTAATAAGGTAAACTGTTAAGAAATTTTCAGGTTTTATTATTAATAGAAGCTTTAATTTTTACTGTGTTATTTAATTCACGGTAATTATAAACAAACAGAAGTTTTTAGAAGTGAATTTTAAAGCTTTTTTTTTTATTATTCTTAAAAATATTTTATCGTCATTTATCGGGCACGACAAAATTTAAAACTTATTTCATTTTTAAACTATAATGAGACTTATCCATAGATTCAATATTTTTTTCCCCCGAAAATAAACTACTTTTGAGTGGATAAAGAGAAAATATAAGTATCTCTCTCGTCTTTAGAATTCTTTATCGTTAGCAATGAACAGTGGAAAGATACCAAAATCGTTGCATATCACAAGAGTAAGAGTTTTCTTTCATTCTTCAAGAATTTCANGTATATATATATATATATAGGCCTACATACAAGAATAACTTCGTTGAATATTTTTAAACTAAAATATTGAAAATTTCAATCGTGCTTTTGTAGCATTGATAGAATTTTCAGATATCAATATTAAGAAAAGCCTGAATTCTCTAAATGTAATAGAATCATTTCTCAAAATTAAACTTATTTTGATATTTTTTTTAAAGGATAATAAAATAATTTAAGAGTAAATGTAATTTAGTAACACCTAAAAATGTACGTAGGATCTTTTAAAGATTGTTGAACGCCTCTCGAAATACCAATTACTTTTGGAATTAGTATCATTTAAATTATATATGTTTTTTTTTTTTTTTAATGCGTGTTTTCAAGACAGTTTTAAAATAAATTATTTAAATTGAGAGTTTATTAAAGAGCGCTTTGATTTTAAATACCATCAATAGTAAAAGTTTTTAATAATAAAACGATGTATGATTATTTCATTACAAATAGATGAGAATACGTAGAGAGCGAAGTAATTTTATGTCGTTCTTCTATCACCTCGAATTAAATATTCGTTTATAAATGCAAAAATTTATTCAATATAATTTTCGGTTCGTCCATTTTAAAAAGGAGATAAATATTTTTATATTTTCGACGGTTTAAAATGCACAAGAAATATACAGTTCATCATATACTTTTCTTTTCTAAAGCGGTTTTAAATATTCTCGCTTTTGCATGATTGCGCTAATTTGAGAGAAATTTTTAAAATTCCTATCGCAATTAAGAATAAATTTTATTTATAAATATACTTTTCGCCTGTTTTTTCTATCGGGTAAAATTATTTTTATTAATTTAAAACCAGTAAACGATGCGATACCACTTTTAAACAATTATCTACTTTAAAATGGTAAATATATTCCTATACAAAATTTGCCATACTATTGAAAATCCCCTTTCATATAATAATAAAAACATCGATTACATTTATCCTTAAATAATAATTACAGAGCATAATAAATAATTCGGAAAACATGCATTTAAATTACTACTAACTCTTAACATTTAAGTTTTTAAAAGTTAAATTATAAAATAAAAGATTTTGTCTTTTAAATGTAAATTCAAGAATTTCGATTACCTCCAAAAAACACGAAAAAAACAATAAGAAATTTATTAAATTAATTATTAATGCCTTCTAGATTTCTTCTAGACTACTAGATTAGAGTTACTGATATCAAACAATGATCCGGAAAACTGTAAGATTATATCCTAACAATTAAAAAAATTATGTAAGATTAAAACTCCAAAATAATGAAATTATAATAAAATTTTTTTTTAAACAAAAATGCTTAAACGGAGTAGGAAGCGTGTAGAAAAGAGGATTAAGTATTTTAGATACTCATCACCTAGTTTTTTGAGCTTCCTCTCCATTGAAGTATTTATTATCAAAAAAAACTATTTTAAAATTATTCTAAAATTATATTCTAAATTATAGTTAATAATTTTAGTTTTGATGACAGAATTAATTAAACAAAAATTGTTAATAAACTTTGACACTTAGGATCGTTAAACATCCTTCGTTCCATTCCATTAAAAACTTTTGATTCATGATATTAAAATATTTTTCATTATATTTTATTTAAATTCTCATTAAATGGCGATAAAATAATATCATTTAAAATATAAATTGAGAATTATAATAATTTATATTATTGCTCTCATCGTTGAACTATTAATGAAATATAAAATTCCTGTAATTTAAATTTTTCATAATGATAAATTATCATACACGTCTACTGCGTGACATACGTAATTGAGAAAGTATGTTGCAAGAAAATTGAGAAAAAAAACAATATTTTGAGGAACCATACCGATTTAAATTTAGTAAAATATTGCAATAGTTTACAAAAGTTTCGATAGCTACTAATAATAATAAATTATAAATAGAATCGTTATGCTTGTATGGGAATAGAGTAGGCCTTTTTTGCCATCTTCTACAATCAATATAGTGCTTAGAATGTTTCTTTATTTAATATTAATTCATAGGAGGTAGGAACCATTGTGACTCCTAAGATTATAAGACAATTATCAATATGATATTAGCGAAATAACCCGTGAAATGTTTGCAATCTACTCTCAAATAAAACAGAATTTCTTATTGCACAACATCGGAATATAATAGTGGAAATAAATGTTTTTTCAAACACTGTCTGATGTTATTCCTTAGCTCCATTAGATGTGTGTGAATGGTATTTCCGAAAACATATTTCTTTTCTAGAAATAAAGCTATACAATCGAAGAGATGAGACGAATGGCAACTAATCTATAATAAAAAAAAAAGCACATATCCGCAGCAACTCACGCCCTCGCGATTTGGATTATTAACCATATAACAGATCGTTAAAGAGAATAATATATCATTCTAAATACGATTTGTCTTGTAAAGATTAGGTTATCTCCCTACATGTTTTGATAAACACGACTACCGAAATTCCATCCGTGGTCTTTAATTGGAAATGCGTGATCTATTATCAAATTTAGGAATTCTGAGTAAAATTATGAATATAAAAATGAATTATTCTAAATTATCAGGTTAACGAACTAATAAACATAAACTTTTCTGATTAAAAATTAATATTTAATGGTTCATTTATTTCGCATTTCTTTTCTATAGTATAATTACAAAAAAATATCCAGTATTTTTATTCATATTCTACCATTAGCTGTTAATATAAAGAAATTTAACAAGTGATTAATTTAATTCGAAGTATTTTATAATCGTTGTATCCATTATAAAAAGAAATTGAATCTCAACCCATTGCCAGCCAATAAACACAACTAATTTAAACTCAATGATCGTTAACATTTGTATTTTAAGTAAAAATGTCACAAACTTTAGTAATTGATTCAATCTTCATTAAAGCGTAAATACAGTCGATACGCGCTTATCTTAATTAATTAATTGAAAAATATATTTTAGTAAATTTTTAAGAAAATTTGACTTATAAATGAATTCAAAATATTTTATTTATCGGAAAATCTTTTTACATATTTTTATTCTTGTTGCACCGAATTAATTTTAATTCATTTGGAAATGTCTTACATCAATGAAACTAATTTTTCGATTTTCCCAAAAAAATTAGTTTCACGATTTAAAATTTTTATTGATATTTATGGAATAAATCTAATTGTGATTTCTTTTAGGGACATGTTGGAAGTCAAGAATTCGTGATGATCGTGTACGGGTATGTTACGATCGAATGGGAATCCCATAGATCTCTTATCTGGATATTTCTCGTCCATGGCGCCGCAATAACTGACGGCATCGGCACATAAAGCTCTACTACTCAGTCCATCGCCGACCTGGCAAACGAAAAAAAATCATCGTTAGAGATGCGATGGTAAAATTACCGGAACAGAGAAACTAGTATGAAGTCACGTACCTTATCGTGATCGAAATCAGTAAGCATGACGAAAAGATGGAACACCATGCCCTTGACATTACCTTTGGGTACCAACAAATGTTGTGGCCAACCGCAACTGCAGAACTCGGTTCTATTTTCGTCCAAACCTTCTCCCTTCTCCAATTCCTCGAATGTGTATTGATGAGAGAGAGTAACGCTGGAATCTACCGAACTTCTCACGATAGTGTTCTTGCCGGGTTTTACTAATGGAAAATAATCCTTAAGAATTTCAACTTCCATACACTTCTTTAAATTTGTTTATTACTTACTTTCGGTAGTAAACTTGTCGAGTTCAATGAAAAGTCTTCTTTGGGTATCGATTTGGATTTCGTTACCGAGTTCGTCGTATTTCGGAGCTAAAAATATTCTGACTGTTGCTTTCTTAGCTGTGCTTCCGTTATTTACTGTGTCGATAGTATAAGAATACGATTCGTGATCCAAATGTTGATATCTTACCTATTGGTTAAATAATTTATGAATGAGAAACGTAAGAAATAGAAGAAGTAAACGAGAAATATAGATAGATATTTCATTAATTTTCACAATATTCTCTTCCATTTTATTTACCTTTACTGATCCCTGACGTCCAACGTTAATGGAGTGACTAAGTTCCAATTCGTCTTCTTTCATAAAAGTGTTGATGACATCATTAGTTCGTGCATTAACGGTAACTCCGACAATTGATACGTCGGGGAAATTCAACTGAAAATTAATTTACATCTGATTATAATCTGCTTGGTATTCTTTCGCAATTAAGCAAATACTTTGTATCGTTAAATTATAAGCAAAAGAGTTCTCGATGCACAAATATTAGATGATTAATATTCGGTAAATGACTTCATTAAGTAAACAGTGCTTCTTAACGCAGTTTTAATTTAATGATTACAGAAGTTTGCCAAAAGGATTAAATTTCTTTTTATATATTATTTACATACGAGATAAAGTTTCATAAATAAATGGTGTATACTTTAACGATTATTAAACGTAGTTTTTCAATATTTTGACTAATTTAACCGATGTTAAGTCATTTTTTGAATTAAAAAATGTACCTGTTCTTGACCGTAAGTTGGTAAGTGAGCTTTATATTCTTGGAACATGTTATCTATAAATCTATGATAACGGTAGAAAATGGGATCTCGCAGAGAAGTAGCAGTATCGGTCATAACTCCTGGTGTTTCCTAAGAAATTAAGCATAATTTTGACTTTGAAGTACAATTGCAGTAATTACGAGTCAAAAAATAAATATACTCACCAAAAATTTACCATCGGGGTCATGAATATGAGCCATCATGACATGTCCCCAGTTGTGAAGGCTACCATAATACAGAGGATTAATAGATTCCGCATTGGATTCAATCAGTGAACCTAAGAGATCTGCACCGTGTTCGTCATCAAGCGCGACCTCTTTTCCGTGAGTATCGTGAACGTGGCCAAGATGAATGGCATCCAAAATTCTCTCTCTCCATCTTTCCATGTCTTGAACATCTACTTCTTTCATATCACTCATAGCCATTTCTTCTGGACGGAAAGCGTAATATCTTCCACTAGCTAAGTGAGCTAAATGGGGATCATAACCTTCCAAAAATTCTTTAAAGTTATGGAAAGGCACCATACGGTTCATGCCATTTGAAAGTCGCTCGCAATCGTATCTAATATAATAAAATAGTTTAGCACAAATTTTCAAAACTGTTAATACGTGGGACGATTAAAAGCTTTCCAAACTAACCTAGCACACATCTGTTGATGCATATAATAGAACAATTCTCCTCTCCTATCCTTCTTCTTCCCGAAAACTTTAGGATCCCAGATGGATGGATATACAATGTGCCAGTGCCAATGATGAGCATTTGCGCCGATATCTTCACGGAAATAGGCAAGTTTGTACTCTGGATCCAAAACATTGCCAGATTCTTTCAGATTTACAATAATTGGGGTCTAGAACAATTCAGAATTTTGTTAACTTATTAATTATTAACAACAGAAAACTTAGAGCAAAATTTACCTCGTCCGCTGCAGTTCTGGTAAGAGCCTGAATATATGCTTGGTTAATGGTAACAGCATTAATGAATTTATCTACAAATACTTCTTGTACTGGAGGTACACTCAGACCCTTACAATCTTCCCTGTGAAGTATAGCAACTTCCGTGGCAAAAGCGAATAAGGTTTCGTTTACGAATTGGCGAGCATTCTTAGCCAAGTCGATGAAATCATCGAAATCTTTTGCAGCTATAAATTTGTTTAATTATTACTATCGTTATTCAATTATAGTCACTGTCAAAATCTGCTAAAATTCTTACCTAAATAAGCTTCGCACAATCTCCTAGCTTCATTCAAGTGTGGAGGATAGAAACAAGAAAAAACAGCTCCAACAGGCAAAATGCCTACTACGTCCTTTAATCGAGGATCGGGTACAGCATGATGTTTGCGAACAATGTAGTTCAATCTCTCGAATAATTCAAGGACGCGCACTTGCTTCTGGTGGAGAGACATGACTGGCACGTGTGAAGCTACCGCCACAGAGAAGCAGAACCACAGCTATCCATTATGGGCATGCAGGCTTTATATAGGTCTAATATTATAGGAGTGTATTTCCAAGAACTGTTTATCAATCAATTGCGATTGGTTTATTTATAGATAAATGAATTGTTCTTCCCGTTTTGTTCTTTTTAAAACTCTTCTTTCAAAGAACTTCCTTAATTCATAATTATCAATATTTTTAAATCCAATTTTTCCGTAATTTTAATGATATAAATTTAACATTGACCATTCGTCAATATTTAACTCTAAATTTTCTAGTTTAAAAATCCAATCGTTAAATGAATCGAATGAGGAAATTTAAAATATTTACTGTAATTATTAAATTTTTAATATTTAGTTCAATAGTGAAAGAAATTATAACTTTAATGTATTTTAGTGATTTCTTCTAACTTTTACTAAATGCCAACATGTAAAATTTACTTGAATATACCTGATTTCAGCTGAAATTTTAATGAATTTGTAAAAATTCTACACTAATAATACAATACGAAATCGTATTCATAAAATGGTGTCAAATCTCACCGCACTATTTCTATGAAGTTTTACCTATTTCTTTGTTCATTTAAAGCCAAAATAATCATTACAGACACCTAATACTGATAATCGTTAGAAAAAAAAAAAGATTGCTAGTAACTAATTATTCAATACAAATTACCATAAAATAAATGTTAGTAATACGATAAAAATCTTAAATTTATTACATTAAATTTTTGTAAATTTATTTATTATTGTGAGAATACAGAACGCAAAACAGTGACTGAAAACTCGTTATTTTCGTATTAATTCGTCCTTCGGGAAAATTTTTAAATGTATAAAAATTATTACGGACGTTTCCATTACGTATGTTCTAAACAATTGTATACAGTATCTACCGATGAATTTTACTGAATGTTTTCGAGAAATGTAGTTGTCCTCCTCCGAACTGTTATCTTATTTTCTATATTTATAACTAAGCTATTTCTATATTTATTACACGTCCGATCATAATCCCATCAACCGGATGACGATAGCGACTTATTTCCGTTTAAACTTATATCATTTGTGGGTTATTCTAAATCTAAATGATCTAACGTGTTATCACTCGAACATTTCGAAGATAATTATGGAGGAGGGATCTTCCAAGGCTTTAGTGTGGGGATACAATGTACTGTACTGTACTTCCAGATCATAAGACCAATATTGTTAAATCAATAAAATCAAGCAAATGAGGAAAGCCAAAAAAATATGACTCAATATGCCAACGAAATTAATAATTTTACATTGAAATCCTTCCTCAAATTTCTATTTATATAATTTGTTTACTCTCTTTAATCACAGATGGAGCCACTAACGCAACTACATTTTTGAATTTTTTTTTCACCTTTTTATATATATTAGATGTAAAACAAACACACAAAAATATTTTTATATCATATATAATTTAAATGTGTTATAT